ATACTTATAAACTAAAAAATATTAAATGACGTTTTTCCCGCAAACATTTAGCTCTCGTGATGCTATTGGATGTCACTTGGCTTTGCCTCCATGAAGGTTTTCTTATCTTGTATGAACTTTCAATGATTCCCTACGACCAGGCTTGGAATCTCCACAGGGGTGCTGATAGAGCCCAAGTGATGTCGAATCTGAGGTTCGGCCGGGATGAGAAAGTTTCTTGTGAAGCAAAGCTAAAGGAAATTCAATGACATTATCAGGGCTATTCATGTCAGTGTTTGAAAAGCATCACCAGCAGTCCTTAAGACACCTTTTGATCCTTTTTACATACCTTATCATTTATGAATTACCGTTAGTTACGATTTACTCTCACCGAATATACTTATTTGTGCAGTGAAATGCAAATTTAGTGATACAGAAAGGACACTCTGTCCTGTTAAAGGGGTGTCAGATAAGGAAGGAGGCATGGAAAAGAAGACCTTATCATAATTCTGTCCAATTGAGTCGATACCATCGTCTTGAGAAATTTAGGCTCTACTTTATTTTTTAATCTGTTTTATTCTAATTCTATATTTGACATTGGATTGTTGCTTTATTTTAAGGCAGAATTGCATCTTTATACTATTTATTTATCTCGTATATTACTGCAATTTATTGCCCTAATGTGTATTGTTCTATAAAATTATGGTGACAGCCAATGAATTAACTAGCACAAGATACTCTCCTGTCGACTCTTGCTCCTTCAAATATTGCCCCAAATTCGACTATGACGGCTTCACTAAAGTTGCATCAGTTACTCCTTTGGATGAGGCATCTTCCCTTTGTGAGACTTCACAACAAAATGTTCTTTCAGGATTTGCTTCCGCCTCGTCTGCCAACCTCTTCTCGACTACGACAACCTGTGCCACTATCACTTCCCTTCATAGAACGCCAGCTCATCTCGATCCTCTAACGGCGTCTACAGAAGAGCCTATGGAGATATCATCAACTTACTCTGTTCAGTCTTATGCCGAAAAGGAGTTGGAAAACATTAGCAGAGCCGATCAAACTTTTATGGTTGATCCAATAAAATCCGCTGACTCAATGAACAGCAATAGATTTACGTATATTAATGACTCCAAAAAGGATAGCAACATCAATGAAAGTATTTGCCTTAGTAAACGTAATATTCAAGCCACTTTTTCCAGTCTTTCACCTGAAGGGGCTATTACTGGCAGCTCTTCTATGGCCGATATCACCGGCTCCAATCTTATCCTACCTTCTATAAACCTTACTTCTCTGCCTTTACCTTCGATACCTGTTAATGAGAAAGGATTGGGCTCACATAGTGGCTGTTTGAGTAGTGATTCATCTCATTTTGCTTTCTTCGGACGGCAAAACAACTCTGCTCACGAGCTCAGCCCGAAGCCAAAGGCCGGGTCCGATGTGGATACCAAGCTGGTTCAAATGGTCTCCTTACACCTGGGCCTTGAGAAGAAGGAAGACGAAGAAGATAGTGATATTCGGGATTCTCATACAGAAGAGGAAGACACAGATACAGAGGAATCGCATGAAAATCGAGATGGTCACCTAGGTTCTGGCTGGAATCTGCGCGGCAAAGAAGGGGATCCGTTGCCTGGACAGTTGCGCAGCGCCATGTTGGCTCGACTTTCTAACGATGGTCTCGTTTGTCCCTTTCTGGCCCTTATTGTCTTCCTAGTTGTTTTGATAACCAACCATTTTACCAATTTTATCAAAGTGGAGGTCATTGGTAATTCTGGTAATGTAACTTCAGAATACACAAGAAACGCTGGCCTAATTTCACTTGAGGCTAATCGAGACCTTGTTGGTTCACCACCAGTCGATCCTTTACTTCTGAACCAGTCGGTACACTGGTTTCTTATTTTCACGATTGTCTGGGGCCTTAGCTTGCATTCCCTCTGGCCACAACTACGCCGGGTAAGCATTTTTGTTCTTAGTCGTTTCCCGCTATTATATTATATTTTATGCTCATCTAATTGTCACAGACCTAAAACCAATGAAGTTTCTATTGTGCAGTCACCTTTTAATAGCCCCTAACGCCGTAAGGCATAGTGATAGATAATTTAAACTTATACTTGTTTCTATTCAGTGTTTTTAAATCCTACCCACTTAGCTTCCTATAGACTTAAAGCTTTATTACCATACATACTAATTAAATTTGATTTAGTTTTGACTATGTTTCTTGAAAACTAAATACGATAACCGTAGCTTAGTTTATAAATTTTAGAAAGCTCTTTTCTATCCTGTAGTCAGTCAGTTTGCTAGGCTACCTATTTATGCATTAAGGAGAGAATGGAATCCACTTTTGTTAAGACGTTTCTATACAGTAACATTTAGCATCCTTAAGAGAATTAAAGCTCGTACGAATCTTTACACTAGTGTTCTAGTAATGGCAGGAAGAATTAAATTACCTTAAAATAACTACTCAACAATGCTCTGTTTAGAAGGCAATATCGATAAAGTAGCTTACGAATGGGTTGATAAATAAGTCGTAGCTTGGTATATCTTTATGTTATTTGATTTCTCATAAATAACGCGAGTGGTGGATTTGTGGGCAATTGTACGATTTTATGTTTCTTTACCTGATTTACAGGGTATATGTTTTACTATTCAGTGGCAAAGAGGACACTATTTTATTATTTGCATTACTTTGGGGATTCAAAATTTAATTTTTCTAATCTAAACTTTTCCTCTCGTGCAAAAGAAACTCGTCTTTCTTCTTATTAATATCAGTGAAATTTCTACTTTTACGTTAAATAAACTTTAATTAGTACGACCCCGTTTTATAAACTTGTTAGGGAGTACATAGTCACACTATGGAGTGTACAAATTCCTGCGCTCTCTTCCATAGCAGTTGCGATAATTTCCAACACCGGAATATTGAATTGGTACACTCCCAGACGTTTACTGCCATCTTACTCGATATCGTAGATAAAAGGCGCAATCCTTAGCACCGAATGAGTACAACGAGGTCTCCTTACCATACTGATCAAGTTTTAGTGACGTGGCCATACCAACTAGATGCGGCTAAAAGAGACTGCGACAAAGCTCAAGGCCGCGCAATCTTCATTTTTATTAACATGATACTCTCGTCTGCATTCCGTTTTAAGCTGATAAAACCCGATCAGAAAAAGAAAACTGATATCACAAAGTAGTTTATATAGTTGGAAATTTGTCATAAGAAATTAACGGAGTGTATAACTTAAGTAGGTGGCGTAGTAACAGTGTAATTAAGGAGCCTAAGGAATAAAAGGAAACATCAGAGCGTAAGGGTTCGGATCACCTCGTCAGTCTAAAAGCTGGTACTATGTCTGGTGGTCGCATCTCTGCATTATTGCCTAATTAATTGCCTGACTTGCTTGCATGGGTACCAACATCCGATTGCCTCTTGGACGATTCCCTGGCTTGGCGTGATCAGTTAGGTAGATCCAATATGAGGACCTGTTTAAGTCGTATTAACTGAATCTTTATAAAAACGGTCTTCTTTGAAAAATAAAAATATTGCCAACTAAACGCTAATAGATAGAGGACAGAACAATCATTACAAGGCTCCTCCAAAAAAGACTAACCCATTAAGGCAGTGGTTCCAAAACTTTTCCTAGTTGCGGCGCCCTTTTCAATTAAAATATTTCCATGGCGCCCTACCCTAAGTATGACTATTCGTAAGAGAGAAAAATAAATAAAATTCGTGTATCCTCATTATTTTTTTTACTTTATTAACATTAAATTAATATTTAATAATTATTGTGATGGATGAGCGTACAAATCACTGCACCTTTTCTCAAATTGAAGCTTTTACAATATTTCGCGGCGCCCCTGTAAAGAGGCCGCGGCTCCCAGGGGCGCTGCGGCGCAAAGTTTGGGAATCACTACATTAAGGGGTAGTCTCAACAAATTTTATAGCACGCTTAGGTTTAACTTCCAGGATCAAATTTCCCTATACTTTGTACCATAGGATGAGTTGGTTCTTTTGTCTTCTTTTTTAATAAGGTTCTCGGTGATGATCTACTGGTATCCGTGATGAGCTTGTAATCATCACTGCTTTTAGGCTGGTTCTATACCTTGGTCTTTGGCTACACTGCAGACTTGGGCCTATTTATTGATAAGTGTTTGCATTATTGGATCTGTAATTCATGGGTGCCCTGGAAAACCAACTTTCTCATGATGGAAGGGACGAATGGACGTTGCTTAATTGTGGACACATTATGCCAAATCTTGATAACTTGCTGCGTTTTATTGTCATAGTCATTTCGACCCAATGGCTAGCGGAGACTTGGATACTTTCACGTTCTTGTTCATTAACCATGGCTCAGCAATGGTATTACAGAAATCGGGCCAATGCGGGAGAGCACTTTATAGAAATGGTATAGAGGCTGGTTTAGCATAGATCCAACTATTGGATACTAGATAAACGAATCTGTTGGTGACTCGATCAGTGTAAAGTTGATGTCCTCTGGGAAAATCAATCTA